TCTCTCTCTCTCTTGCTCGCTTGCTTGCTCCCTCCTACCTCCTCTCTCTCTCTCTCTCTCTCTCTCTCTCTCTCTCTCTCTCTCTCTCTCTATCATCTAGCTCTCTCTCTCTCTTCTCTTTTAGTCACTTTCTCCATTATAGCCAGCTTTTTAACCATACTCCTGTTTCTGCTGTGGAAACAGAAGCCTTTGCTATACGTGGCTGCCCAATCAGTAAACTTGTCTCAAGCATGACAAGAAATATATATTTTCATAGATTGCTTGCAGTCATTGAGCATGCCTGCTCTGATTTTGCTAATGAGGTTGCGTAACTTGCAGCTGCCAACATGTTCATGGTTTACCCAGAATGCAGTAAGAGACACGCACCGGCTGTGTCGCAGAGTGACAGGTAGCCAGACTGCTGTCTGCTAAGGACAAGGTAGCATGTAGATTATAGAGGTATTCTTGCACAGCCAAGGGAACTTAAAAAGTTAACAAAAATTCAGATTTCAGAACAGAAATAAATGAAGGTAATGCAACTTGCGCATTCTAGGCAAAACATTTCATCGTGAAATACTGTAATACTTGTAGGTGATCATACAGATCCACTTACCGCTAAAGATGCCAACATTGAGATTCTCCGAATCCAAGTCCTGGATATACTTTCCCAGGTACTTGTTCAGCAAACTGGCAACAACTCCTTCAAACATGTTTAGGAGTCGATTGTGGCAGCTTTATCCTATCACCAAAGTCCAGACCAACTGCTAAAGTGAGACTGGCGACTGGCACGGCTCTCCTCTACTGGCGTATTGCCACATGTGTCTTCAATGCATGTAAGTACATAGTGCAGCAGTCTAATCTGTCCCCAGTGAAGCCACTAGTTACAAAACAGAAGAATTAAAGAAAGTGAAAACACACACTATTTTAATATTTTATTACACATTCAGATTTCATGCTAATAAAGTTGATCTCAGTTCTCAAAATTCTCCTGTGATGTAGCATTAACAAATCTGAATGTTGAATAATTTCATTAGATCTCTATAGTTCACATTCTAATAAAGTTTATCTCAGTTGGATCCAAATTAAGTTAAAAATAACTTACACTGACGAAATTTTCATCCATCTCTCCGATAGATAGAGGAAGTCTATTGGAGAGATGGACGCAAATTTCGTCAGTGTAAGTTATTTTTCGAGATCTGATAAAATTATTCAACATTCAGATTTGTTAATGCTACATCACAGGAGAATTTTCATGTTAAACAATACTAAACATTGTAGCAAATTTGTACTTTAGGTCTATCATGAATAGTACACAATATAAATGTATAACGGTTCACCCCAGGCCTTATGCCCGGCGCACACGGTGAGATTCATGCTGAGCATGATACTCACGCTCCGTGCTCAGCATGAATCTCACCGTGTGCGCCGGGTATTAAGCTCTTGTTGGGTCCAACATGCCTTCAAAGCTGAAGCTAATTTGTGACATCCCATAAATTCTCAGACATGCCTTAATTTCCAGCTGTGTTTACTTAGAACTGACGATCCCAACAATCATGCTGTTTTCACAGCTTGATGTATGTACGTCTTTGGACTGAGGAGTTTATGTTTATCAGAGTGCTTTATGACACCCGGAGTAATTCTGACGACCCCCTCCTGGACCCTACCCATCTGTCCGTAAATAACACGTCTCCTTAAATAGGCCAACCGGAAATAAACCAGCAAGATACCCCATGATGTAACAGCCGAGTGGCAACAACTTGCATGGCAGGAAACTGCGTGAAATGATGTTGGGGTACACGGTCTACATTTGTCTATTTTTAAATCTTCTGTCTCTTGTTAAATTTCTCTAAAATTGTACGTGTATACTAACACTTTTATAGGTAATACCCTACCCAGGTTCAACAAATGTAAAACGGCCGAAGCATGCACTGCTAGGAGAGCCAGCGACTTGTGGCTACATGATCCACATGTGTATCTTGTACAACATTTGCTGTAACAACAAGCTGATCAAGCTGAACAAACTACTATGGGGAAGCAGGCAGCATATTACCAAGAGTAAATAATAACACTATTATTACTATTAGTGTTATTATCTACTCTTGATATTACTTATATACTTCTTATCAAGGGCTAATTATATAAAAATGTGTTAATAATAATAGTTAATAAATAAAATTAATAAATATAGTTAATAAATAGTCAACTGTTAATAATAATTCATGTATTATTAGCTCTTGTTCTTATTCAAATCGCATCAGCAACACTCAGCATTGACGGAAGATCTAGCTTCGCACACAAACACCTTACACTTAGAGTAGGAGAGAGCATGTACAGCTGTTGACAGCATGGCATCTAGTAATTAAACAGGAAGCTTTGCAAACGATGCTGGTAATTCAGACCTATAGATTAATATGTGTGAACTGTGAACGAACGTCTATGCCTCGTTAAATGCATGACAATTTCTACAAGCAAGTGAGACACTTACCTGCGCATTGTTTTACACTTAAACCATTATAACCTGTAGAGATTCATCGATTATTACGTAAAATTGTATGCATAAATAATAACCATTACTGATTCGATATAATCTGCTTAATTTCTGTTTTGCTTCTCATCAATATAGGCAACACGCACGCATGCACGCACATACATAGACAAATACACGCACACGTATGCACGGACGCGCATGTCCGCAGACACGAAAGCACACATATAGACACGCACAGACACGTACGTGTACGTGCACGTACACACGCACGCACGCACGAACACACACACACACACCCAACCACTTACCTACACACGCACACGCACACACTCACAAGCAACCGCAGCCGTAGCTCTAGAGCTATAGCTCTGCGCTCCGTCGCATGCCGTCTGCGGCGGAGCGGAGGGCTACAGTTCCAGAGCTAACGCAGCCGAGACCATAGCGGCAAGCGACAAACGAGAATGCCCATACACAAATGTATAACACACAACGGGCGATAGTTTACTACAAATTAAGCTAACTCGACCCCACCGGATCGACTGAACAGTTAAACATTTATAACCTATTAATATGACACTATATATATTATATAACTATGATTAACTCCCAGATTCAAAGCTTCTCCCGCTCCTTCTCAGCATCGTGTATGGAACTTCCCTTTGACTGAATCACGCACGCATTTTTATGAGCATATTGCCCTATCTGAAGTAAAAGCGCTATAAGAAGTAAATAACTAACAAGATGAGTCCTAATTGTTGGTCCACGACCATATAGTAATGTCAATAACCAGTAATATTAATATTATAAATTTAATCACCGATGCAATAAAATACGTAAAATCATATTCGACAATGAACTTGAAGAGCACTTACGTTGTGCTACACTGTACATGTATAGCTCTAGAACTATAGCCCTCCGCTCCGCCGCAGGCCTGTACACACACATACTCCACGCATTTTTACAAATACAAACAGCAATGCCGCTCACAACAACATGGAATCCGACGGAAGGTCAGCACAAGAAACAGTATCACCTTCGCAAATGGATCTCAACTAGAAAACGTTGCGCACAGCCTCGCATGCAGCTAAAATGTCAGCCAGCGCGGCCACGAAAATCAATACGAAGAGATCGGTATTGATTGCGTAGTCAGGTGACCAGCAGTGCAGCCTGCTGCGATCAGCTGCTTTCGCTTCTAGTGCTGAAACGCATTATCAGGAAACCCTCTAACACTGCCTACTCATCGGAGCAACGAGCAAAAGTCTCGAGAAATCGTGCCGAATAATCAAGATATTTGTTAGAATGTCACGCCACAACTATATTATGCAACATTAGTGTTTCACATGCAGACCAATCCTAAAACGTCGTAGCGTTTGTTACATTTGTTTGTACGAGGAACATTGTTCAGTTATCCCGCTACTTCACAATGAAAAACATAGATGCAATTTTAGCTATTAATTAACTATTCACAATTTTAATTATGTTTTATAACTTAGTGAGTTGTATTGTGCTTTCACGGCAGATAGCATGGAAGCTGAAGTCAATTCACTTGTTTCCTGGAGTATACACACGCTACTGTGCAGTACCAACTGTGCGAGGTTATATGCACTAAATAAATAAACAAACATTATGATGCCAGCATGCACAGACACTTTTATCTTATTTAAAATGTAGAGCTTCAATTTGTTTACTGATTGGTGGAAAACGAACACGTGTGAAAGAAATGGAAGAAACTGTATAAGAAAGTGTGTATTATATTATATACACAGCTTGACCATTACATTAGTGTTATCAACCTGAAATGAAAGTGTCAATGACAATATATAGCTCACCTTGGGTGTGATAGAAGAGGGAGATGATATTTAAAATTTGGTAAGTGTTTCATTTTTGATGGACCGAAATGTGATCAAATGTCCTTATTCCCTGTTTTATACTAATATAAATTTCATTGTTTTGTTTCAGGATTAGTTTTGATATGAAAAAAGCCTAAATGATCGCCATTTTGGTTTTCGATTATCGCGCAAATAAAAGCAATAAAATATTCCAGTCAATTTACTGTAACGAAGAATTTAAAATACAATATTACACGTAGGTACCGTATGATTAGGTAGGTAGGTAGGTAGGTAGGTAGGTAAATTTAACAAAATCGAATGAATCTAGATGGCCATTTTCATTTTTGCCAAAAAGTGGGCGTGGCTCGAAAGTCCGGTTCGGACGTGGGTGCCTCAAAATCGGACGTTCAACATCTTCTCCATTTGCGGAGTCCAAACTGTATGCCATTATCCGCAACCTGTGGGTCCGAAGCGGTGTGCTCGGGAGTTATTCGTTGGGACCCGTCGCGCACTGAAATGCTATCATGCTGACATTGTCAACATCTACCCGCTAATTGTTTGCCATCAGTTTGAGAAAAAACAAAAACCGCCTGATAATATGTTTCGTGGGGCAGTCCTCATTCATACCACATGCACCGAGAAATGAGGCAAAACTGCTCCATTTGCAACTAACTGCGTACTGTGTGCATTTCCATCTTGCAACAACGTGGACCTGCTCGATATGTAGTGTCAAGCGGCGTGCTCGCAAACTCTCCGTTCAACCACACCTCTCTCATAGGGAGTACCAACTAAGTCTGCCCCGTTGTGAAACATCGTCCGTCCAGAGCGGTTCTTGCGAGTTTATCGGTGACCGTTACCAAATGTTGACGGCCCGGGAAGGACGGACACGACGGACGACACGCCATTGGCACATAGCTCATTTCTTGACGATGGTCAAGGCAAGCTAAACACAGTGCCGCATAGCGACAGCGGGCTCATACTAGCCTCTACTGCGGTGACTCTGTGGTGGAGGCTGGTTGGGATTCTAGTAACCCATTGTTAGTCCAAATGGTTCACTATTCTACACGTCCGACACAGTGGAATGCACATGTAGGTATCAGGTAAGCTTCTCACCAAGATGTCGTGGATCGTTATTGAAAGTTGCCACGCCAGGCGGTGGCGCGTAACGTTAAGTGTCCTTCAGATAAAAGACTGACGCTCCCCATCAATGTAGTAGCAAGCCATACAGTCTCAGAGACAGAAGTAGGTAAGCACTCCATGACCCATTTACCGTACGCAACCTACCAGGGCTGCGCCATAGAGGAGCTGCCCGCGCGTGCAACAATAAAGGCACACCTCACAGTACCAGCAACACCAACGCATCTGCACTGGCAGTGGTCATACTAGTTACATCCCCAGGAAAAAAAAAGTTTAGATAAAGGGAATGAGTGTGCCTCCAATAAAGCAAGGAAATTCGTTCCATTTACTACCTTACATAGCCGGTACTCTTATCGTACTGGGCGGTTAACTCATTCAACTTGAGTCTAAATCGGAGCCAGTAGCACTGTCCCATCTATTCGTACCAGATCTGTTCCGTTCGTAGAGCATCCCGCAATCCGGAGATACAGACGTACCCTACGACACGATTGCTCCAATCTTTGTGCATCGTAATCCAGCCGTTGACAATCCGGCGCGTATGACTTCAGTCAAAAGCTAGCAGCGATTGCCCGCCGTGCCCGCCGTGCCGCTGCTTTGGCTCTGTTGGAATTGTGGAACGTGCTAGCGTTTGGTGGCCTCGCTGAGAATTTGGAGCCCGTCGACGCATCATCCTATAGACGACTAATCCATGACGCTATTGCAGCTAGATGCCCCCCCCAACGCCCATCCGCAGCAGCTTGCGGTCTGCAGCCAGCGTGTAGTAGACGCTGTATAAAGCCATCTACGTGACTGTACGCTTGCAATACGTGCGTACAATATACGTGGCTGTGTAGGGTCTCCCGCTCCGGTGCAGAGTTGCGTCGTACACGTTGGGCTATACTATAGGTGTCCCTGGTGCATGTAAATAAATAGACAATAATCAACTAAATTTAATCAATAGTAAATAAACAACACGGGTATAGAGAAGCAAACATGTTTATCGAGCAAGACACCAGACGTGTGAGGTATCGCTGTCTATTATTATACAATAGAGTACTCCAACACCCAAGAGATAGGGGCCAATGGGGATCGGGTCGCTGTCTATTAGATACAATCAGCTAATCAAAACCCAAGAGGATTAGGCCCCTATCCTCGTTGGGTTTGGTTACATTATTGTATTCTAGCTGTCTATGTGCTCCGACTCAACACGAACGTATCACCGTGTTGGCGAGATGCGCTGCTTCTCGAACCCTGCTTCTAAGAGCTGCTAATCTGCTACGGTCGTGTTTACGCAGCACACCCTTTTCTTTAATTTCCGGCGTCTGTCAGAGCTCACGATCTTTCGTTGTGTTTATTTGCGTCTTCCTGGTCCTTTTTCTAGATCATTCTTTACGCCGGTGCCATGTTTGATATTTGTCAGCTTAATCCATAGATACTACCGCGAAGTCTGTATGTATTCTATGCTTACGCCCTTACCGCTCTAGCGAGACAGCAACATAAACAAGAGCAGATGTTCTCGCGTCCGCTTGGCACGGCTTCCAGGCTACAGCATACCGGCTTCATCACCGCGACGCCCGTTGCGTCTATATTTGCGTCGATGTCCAAGTCTCCTCGCGATGGCCCCTAAAACCGCTACGTCCCACCATATTCCACGAGAGCCCAGCACGCGCGCACTGCCGGGCCAAGTCGTGGCTGCGTTTTGTCTGAATGCATGAGGCCTTGCTATCGGTTGATTAATGCGACAAAGATTGAATGATCGTGTCGTATTTTTTAGTCTGTATACTCCGGATTGCGGTGGTGTTTACTACGCGAGGAAACAACTCTGGTCCCATTAAGGGTCGAATCGTACTGTGTCCGATTTGAGCTCAAGTTGGAATAGTTACGCGGTCGTACATCGTAGGTATTCATAAGGCTCGTTAAATGCCGAAATTCTCCTTGTTTATTGAGTACAACTCTCCCCTTATCTACTCCCCTGTTCCTGTAACTATACTGTACACTACAGAACTGCCATATAAAATATACGATGTTTCAGAGCATCACCCTTTCTTTAACCTGCAAATTTAGCTTTTGATATATTTCACCCCCTGTGACCTTGTAGCCTGCCTACTCCGGCGATGTATAATTTTCACTAGCAAACCCGCAGCCCAAGTCTTCTCTAAAAGACCCGCTCAACCAATCCTTTTAACCCTCCTCTTGCGGTCAAAAAGGTTATCAGACACTTTACTCTATCGCACGTCAGTGAAAGCCGATTTCATGGTTCGCTTTACAATCCAGCCATAAAAATGATAGGCACCGCTGAAGGACAAAAAATTTTCCACATCGCTCGTCAGACATCTCCTCAGAAAATCTACAATGCTGCCCTGTGCTTCCATGTCGCTTTGACCGTGTGACCTCCAATTTTCGGCCACCAGTGAGTGGTTTGCGCTACCATATGCTATCCCCGACATCACGAGCTCAGGGCGAGCCGTTTTAGATTTGTGCGCCAATTCTGTCTTTCTTCCTCTCCCTAAGTTAAGGAGTGGAATGTTCCCGCCTTCTTTTACCCCTCTTACCGTTGACGTTTGACCCCCCAGCTTTCGACATATCCCAACTCCGTTTTGACGTATCCCCCCCAAACTGACCCGAATATCGTGACCGTTACTTCGAGCGGTTAAGATTTGTTGCCTAACTGTTGACGCGACGACGCGGACGACCGTGACGACCGGACTACCCGGACGGACACGACGATGCAAGCGATTGCTACAAGCCTGCATCTGACCTATGCTCAGATGAGCTAAAAATGATGACGACATGCATTAGACAGTGCAAATCTACAATTTATCCAAGTATTTTTATTCACACACAAGTTATGAACTGCTATATAACAGTTTTATTTAACATCCGCGCAGAGCGACAGCGCTCAACTGACGTGTCCTGTAGCCAAGTATTCTTTCTGATAAACTCACTGGCCAACGGATCAAGTTGTGCCCTCCTGCCACGCAGTAGTTCGCGCTCAGAGCTCTCATATCTAGGATTACTACTAATAAGATTCCTAAAATCCATAGCTCTTGCTTATGACCAACTGGTAGTACGTAATAAAGATAAGCCTGTGTAAGCTTTATGACTTAGCTATTATTAACATGTTCTCATGGATATGCGTCGAGCCGCGGTGTAGTGGTGCGTGTGTGGGATGGTGGGGGAAGGAAGAGGGGGACGTGGAGGCAGCGGGGAGGTGGATGTGACGGGCGCGTGAGGTGTGCTTCTATAGCAAAAGCAGTTCATCCTTATGTTAACACTAAGTCACAGTCACATCAAATCCATGTTTAACACCTCCTCTTGAGGGTTCCAAGGGTTATAATACCACTTCCTCTTACGACATATCAGCCGGAAGGTAGAGTTTCATAGGTCCTTTTCAATAAAGTGATCAAAACGGCTAGGCGTCAGCGCCTGAAACAAAAAGTTTTGGCACTCGGCCCGTTAGACCATGTCCTCCAGAAAATGTCTGATTATCTGGGACCTGTTCCTACCACTGCCACCTTTGACCTGTGACCCTCAAAATTTCGCGCTGAGTGATGGTTTCCTCCCATCACACTATACACGGATATCTAGAGCATTCGGTCAAGCGTTTGAGATTTGGCCGCAGATTCGTATTTCCTCTATACGCTAAGTTATGGGGAATTATTCCCCTCTATGAAACATCTTGACATTTGACCCTTGACCCCCAAATTCGACATCCCGAGTCCTTTTCGCGATACTTAAAGGAATAATAGGTCCATTGATTATGCAATGTTGACGAATGCTAGAGTAACTGGCACCTTGTGTAGTTAATAATTACATTACCTTATAGCCAAACACGTATTAGTTTGTCCAATATCACTGCTGGCTACTAAGAAATGTCTAATTGAAATCTGCAGTCCAAAAATCTGTTGTTTACAGTTTCAAACGGTGAAACCGCTGCCGGCGAAGCGGGTGTGATACAGATTTATAGTGCACCGGACATTTTTGCACGCATGCTCGGCTGTGTTGTGCCCAAACTTCGAATCTTGCACAAACTTGGAATTTCAGCGCATCTGCAGTTTGGGCAACCAATCTTGAGATTGGGCAAACAGAGGTAAACAGAGCTTGCACAAACATATGATTATTATGATTTCAAATGTTATATCATAACTATAAGGTCGTATACCTTCTTTCCTCAATGTGTTTGGCACCTTTGTATAAATATTAAATGATTATAATAAATAATTGGATAGATATGAAATAAATCTCTTCCTATAGTTTGCACCACGCACACCACACTCGCTATGAGCGGTTGTTGAATCACCGACTGTTTTCAGTTTGCCCAATCTTGAGATTGGTCAACCAAACTAGCAGTATCAGGTTTAACCAATCCGCAGTTTGGGCAGCACAAACGCTGCCCAATCTCGAGATTGTGCAGATTCCAAGTTTGGGTACGCTAGCCGTATGCAATGCTATAATCAGTGATTTCGTAAACATGGACGCTCGTGATAAGGAACTTTTTATCAGGGCTGTCCACGTGCGTCCGTGATTAGTACGTGTGTTTTACTCTATTTCCATGTTTAGTCCGTGGCCGTGGTTACACCGCTAACACCTTCGTTTCATCTGGCGTCCAAAACATACGGCCCGCACAAAAATGATACGTAAATGGCACGTAAATGATACGTTGATACATATCAACAACCGATTTCAATTCTTGTTTGTAATGTAACTAGCAGTGGTATTGAACAAACTAATACGCGTTTGGCTATAAGGTAATGTAATTATGAACTACACAATTAAGGTGCCAGATACTCTAGCATTCGTCAAAATTGCATAATCAATGGACCTATTATTCCTGGGGCTAATTATTCGTGGGGCTAATTATTCGTGGGGCTAATTTACTATCACTATGTAAATTATATGACATGGTCCGCCACACTAGGCTGACTAGGGTTTACGTAGATACATCATACAATATTATGTAACCCAAACACACTTTTACACAGGATATTATAGTTTTTTAACCCTATCCTGTGTTTGGGTTACATTATTGACATATTGTATCTAGGCTTTACGAACAGATTTAGGCTCAATCAGATTTACATATGTCATGAAATGGTGCACAATGTCAAATATTTACGTAATCACTCAATTAGGATAGGAGATGATGCACAAATTGGCCATATAGTTTGTAATTAGCGATGGCACTCTGCATCAGTGCATGCAGCCTATCCCGGTATCCGGTGCAGACTATCGGGAGCAAAACGCTATCATCTATGAACTAACATTTACAAGACAGACGAGCAGATCCAATCTCTAATCAATAGAGAGCGACTTACAGCTGTTTCCTGCTTGCTCGCAATGCAAAACTGTTAAGAGATAAGATGTAAACAAAACACACATCACAACACAAGCAAACAACACAAGCGCAACAAGACAACAACGCTTGTAGCGCTAAATGTGCGCACCGCCACACGTTCTACGATTGGGCGCCATCTTGGCGGTTTGGAGAGTGATATCAAATTAGCGGATATATATATATAATCAAGAGCTCTTGATATAATATATATATATATATATACTATATATAATAGCTATTATATATCAAGAGTGCTATAAATAGAGTCCTAGAGCATTATTATATGATATATCTCTCTAAATATTTATATAATTATTATATTATCTCTATATATTATACTATATATACCGTATATATATTATCTCTTAGAGCAAATATATATATATAATATACCGGTATACAATATATATATATATATATTATATATATATAATAATAGTATATATATACTCAAGAGTGCATATAAGAGATTCTCTAGTAATGCACTCTTGGAGTCTTGATTATATATATATATGTGAGCTATTGTGCGCGTGTGTGTGGTGCTGTGTGTGGTGTGTGTGTGTGTGTGTGCTGTGTGTGTGTGTGTACCGTCCTGTGTGTGTGACCCGTTGTGTGTGGTCGACGCTGTGGTGTCGTGCGTGCGTGTTGCCGTGGTGCGTGGTGTGTGTGTGCAGAGCGTTGCATAGTGGATGCGTATCCGTGCTTGCCACGACTGTGTGTGTACCTGTGTTAGTGTGCGTCTGTGTGTGTGTGTGTTGTGCTGGTGCTGGTGTGTTGCAGATGTGCGTCGCGACGCCGCGCGCGGGACTGTGTGTGTGTGTGTGTGTGTGTGTGTATGTATGTGTGTGTGTGTGTGTGTTGTGGTGTGTTGTATGTGTGATTGCGAAATGGCTGCAACGGCTAAACAGAACGGTACGTCGCTTGTCGGGAATGCGCCGCATGAAATTGTATTTTTGTGACTTTCTTCCCTATAACCACCATCTAGTTTCCATCTCTTTTTCGCTATATTGCCATCCTATACTTTTCCTCCTCAATTCTCAACTACTATCTCTTCTTACTACCATCTATTACCAACTACCACTCCTTCTCCACGTGTTATTCTGACCCCGGTCTAGTGTCTACCTTAATTGTCTTGTCTTGTCTACCTCCTCAATCTCTACCCCATATATTTCCCTCTACGTTCTCTATCCCATCTCCACATCATATTTCCGCCCAAAACTGCATGCAGCGCCCCTTCGTACCAAGGAGCTACATATAACATGGTATATGTAGCTCCTTTCTTCGTACAACTCAGGATACAGCCTCATTCAACAGTGAATTGAGCCTCAGAATTGAGCCAGAGCGAGAGCGCCATCTGTCGTGGAGTTTAATTTCCGCATACTCTACTCTATCATTACAATAATTTTAAAAGTATTCATTTAAAATAGAGAGAGGATATATTTTCGCGTAGACAGATATAACAAAAGTACATTACGGGTAACTCAAGTGTTTACAGGTAAAGCATTGACTCTAATATGTCTCCCATGTGTTGCGGTTGCGCATCCGTCCGGGATTCGCCGTGTGGTTATTGTTTCGCCACTTGTCAGCAATCGTGGTCAAAAACGAGATCTCACGTAAAGTCCATAATAAAATAAACATCACTTATCATATCACTATCAGAAATGGCTGAGGTCTGCCAACCTGAAGCTGTCTCTGAGCCAAAAGCAATATTGTTTTCTAGAGGAGGCAATAATACACACGACGAATTAATGATCGACAATGATGTTGAGTTACTTCTTCGCGGGGAACCTCCAAAATATCACCATGAAGTTGTAGCAGACGTTTGTAATGTTGGAGGTAAGTCTGAGTCCGTGACTCGTATATATATTAATTATTATTTATAATATTATTGATATTATTAAATACGCTTTGTGGCCTATTATGCCTCGGCAGCCGTCGCACGGTCTTCGTTTTCCTAAATGCCGGCAGTTCCTAACCCTAACTCTAACCCTAACCCTAACAAAAACCGCTAACTCTAAACCTAACCCGAACCCTAACCCTAAACCTAATCCTAACTCTACCCTAACCCTTGTTTACTTGAGATAACAACTAAAAATAAAAAACTGCCGGGCATATAGGAAATCGGAAGAGCCGTTTAGCCCGGCAGTCCGCTCAGATATATGCCGCTGCCGGGGCATATTAGCCATCTGTATTAAATTATTATTAATTAAATATTATTACTAATAGTAATAGTAATAGTAATACTAATAGTAATAAGACTTTATTACTATTAATATTATTAGTAGTATTACTATATATTACTATTATTGTATTAGTCCCTAGGCCCTACGCGTTATAGCAAATGTTGCCGCAAAGGCAGTGGCTACGGGTACGTAGTCCGTATCTTAATGTTCTCGAGGCTACGGGTACGGTGAAGTCCATTTCGTTTCATACTTAACGAACAAAGATTTTGGGCGGCCGGTGAACGCCAGATTTCAAAATAAACGCCTTGGGAAATAAAATGCACGATTTGAGAGTTTAGATGAGCTAGAAACCCTAACCCTAAGCCCTAAAACTTAACCCTTAACCATAACCCTAACCCTAATTCCTAACCCTAAACCCTAGAACTCCTAACGCCAAAAAGGGGCTTTCAACGATCCGACGGTACCGTACTCCAGCCACTGCGTTTAGCAAACGCGTTTTAGCAAATAAATACTAAATGATGTAGTAGGTAGGGCCTAAAAATCTTGCGCCTAATCGTGCCGTAGTACGATTGCGGATTAGGTTACGTTTTAGGATTAGGATCAGGATTAGGATCAGGTTAAGATACTGCAGCCGACATGCGATCGACCGCAACGACCAAACGACAAAAGTCGCGGCGACGGCGCAAACACACTCTGCGCAGCGACAGCGACCTTGACTGTGTAGGGTCAAAAATGTTCACCCAGCACTCGCCACAGTGGTTACACGATCTATCACTATGAACAAGCAAGACAACAAAAACTCATGCTGCTGCTTTTAAATAACAGGCTGCAAAAACTCTCTAGGCATAAGGATCTGGATCTGGATAGCTTTTTGCGTAGCCCACGGTTACGTGGATAATAACGCAGGAACGCCATTTTACGTCGCGTCATCCGAGCCGACGGGGAGATTCACAGTTCCAAAGTTGAGAGCCAGGTTTTTACACCTTGAGAAAATTCACTGCACCGGTCGGGGTTTGAACTCACAGCCTTTGGAGTGAGAGGTGGACAATATACATGGCCTATAACCACTGGGCCACCGAGGCATCTCTAAAACTAAAAGGATAATCCGATAAGATAATAAAGTAAAATATACGCAGCAAATTATCATGTACTGTACGTACTGTGTCTAGCCTGCCACAGGCCCACAGCTTGCACGCTTTGGTTAGACTGGTTCGCGGACTTATTGTTTGTGACATGCGTCGCGAGTTTAGCGCCGGAGACCAGTCTACGTCTTGGCTAGCATTATGGGTTATTTATGACGTAATCGTAATGTTACGTGCTGATGGAAACGGCTGCGATTGGCTATTTGTAAAGTGTAGTTGGCGACTGTCGCTGGAGAATAGAAAAGTTTCTAAATATTTTTGTTGTCAAGGTTGTCGCCGGTCGCTGTCGCGTGTGTGTGCAATAGCTCATAGGAAACAATAGTTTCTAACTTTCTGAAAAGTCGTTTGTCGTTACGGTCGGCGGGTCGCTACGCTGTCGCTGCAGTGTGTCTTGGCCTTTAGGGTGCACTATGGTCACGGTGATAGGTTCCGCGATAGGCTGGAATAGTGATACATCGGTAAAGCTAATGCCAAATATGATTAGTAATACCAAGAGTAGATAATAAAACCATTTTTTTTAATAGGTTTTATTATCTACTCTTGGTAATACTAATAGTATTTCCAATTGGCATGACTCAACCAGTGGCATGGCACTTGGAGTACTGCTACTACTCACAGTCACAGCAAAGAGCTTATAATGATCATTATAAGCTCTTTAGTCATTATAATGATCATTATAAGCTCTTTAGTCATTATAATAATCATTATAAGCTCTTTGGTCACAGGCACTTGGAGCGTTTCAATAAAATATAATGCTAAATAAATACGAAATCTATTTACTACCAAAGTCTTAATGTTTCTATACTCTCTTTCACCTATTATTGCCGACAATTTCCTGTAAATGCCGCCCGTGTGTATATATATTTATGTGTCAGTGTGCATACATGCCAACATTTTTTGA